GCCTGTATATAGTGGAGGGCATTGCTTCAGTGAAGAGAGTGAACAGCAAATGATTAATTGATGTGCTATGTAAATGTATTCCAGTTAAGTGGAATGCAGTCGGATTTTGTCCTTTTCTTGCGGCGGTCCCAAACCGGACTCTGATGGAGGAACACAGGACTGATTTGATGGCTGCTGTGTAGAACTGTCTCAGCAGCTCCTGCGGCAGGCCCTGCTTCCTCAGCATCCTCAGGAAGTACATCCGCTGCTGGGCCTTGTTCAGGAAGGAGTTAATGTTGCCCTCCCACTTCATGTCCTGGGAGGCTGTGGTTCTCAGGAACTTGAAGGTCTTGATGGTTGATGCAGGGCAGTTGGATCATTTGAAGGGCAGCTTTGGATGTTTTCTGAAGTCCACGATCATCTCTACCGTTTTGAGCGTGTTCAGCTCCGGATTGTGTTGCCTGCCTGGTATTTGGTACCGTCACGTTGAGTAAGGGCTCACAGGGAAAACAACGGTTAGCAATTCAAATCATTGGCCACCCTGGTCTACACATTCCTCATTCTATTACAGAGATTACCGCGCTGAGCAGTATCTTGACTCCAGTCAATCAGTCTCTTTGTGTAAAGACACTTAAACCTGGTTATGAATTTCAGGTCGTCCGTGATGCCCAATTGCCAGGTGAGGAGCTGCACAGGGCATTCAAGCGGCTCTCGGCCTCCAGCACAGGGAGCACACTGAGCAACAACTCGGCTTCATCCTTGGACATGCTCCCTGTCACCGACAATGAGCTGTTCTCATCATCTCCTGCCCCATTTACTGGAAAACCCCTTCTGTTAGACCTGGACCCGGCCATGGAGCGCCTTTCCCGCCTTCAACAAGCCGTTGAGTTAAGTGTCTCCGTCATGATGTCATTCATCACGAGCAACTGGAGAAGCCCGGATAACCTGGAGGGGAATCTTCCGGCCATTCACCAGGCCGCTGACCGGGTGTGTTTCACTCTCCGGGACTTTCTCGAATTTTCCCGGGGTGCCGTAACAAATGCGGGCCAGGCCACCGACCGCTCCCTGCAGACCAAATTGGGCCGACAGGTGGGCAAATTGGAGGAGGTCTTTCAGAGTTTAATTGCGCAGACTCAAAGTTTAGATGCCATTTCTTGGTTGCATACAGAACTTGCCAAACCACAACCAGGTGGGGATGTCTTAGATCAGCTAATAATGACAGTGCGTGGAATCCCAGATGACGCCAAACAGCTGGCTTCCTTTCTCCACGGCAATGCCTCGTTGCTCTTCAAACGCAGTCACCAGCAACAGTTACCGCTTCCTCCATTGCCAGGAGGGATTAGCTCCCACGTGGCAGGATCAGAAAGTGGGAGCTATCAAGCGGGAGAGCGAGTAAACATTCAGTCGCGACCTTTACCCTCGCCCCCGAAGTTTGCTGCTGCAGAGGAAGAGGGAGGTGTTGACACACCCTATGAGACCACCGAGGAAGGATGGATGGAGGATTATGACTATGTGCATCTACAGGTACAGACATGATCATTGCATTACACACAGTTTGACACAAGTGGACAAATACAGGTCGAGATGTGTGAACTTACTGCTAGTAATTGGAGATTTCTCACCATTTTAATCAGCTTACAATGATCATAATGCCTTGACATTCAACATACAGAATTTAAGGCGAGGCAGCTTTATTTATGAGTGCATTTCATACACGATATAACTCAATGTGCCTCTTAAAAACATACATCATTTTAAAGCATTTGTTAACAGACATTTAAAATGAAAGTCAAGAAATTTTTAGAAGTAAAATGACTAAAAGAATGTTCAGTGCAAGGAGATTTTGGAGGACAAAAAAACTTTTACAAACATTAACCCATGTGAAACTATTACATGAAAAACAATAAAACACCCTTAGCTTCAATGACAAATGAGGAGTGTTAATAAACACGGCACGATGCGCCTCACACTTCTCATTCATTAACATTTATATTATCACACATATTAAATCAACCATGAATGGAACATTGAACATTCAACACTCAACCGTTTGACCACTAAAATACGGGGTCTTTGTGTTATTTTGTCAGGGTAAGGAAGAGTTTGAGAAGAGCCAAAGACAACTGATGGAGAAAGGCAGCATCATCAAAAACAAGACACAGTTGGAGCAGCAACAGGTGCGTGTGTGTGAGACCTCTTTGAAATGGCCAAATATCCACACATCTTTTTATTTATGTAACACCTGGGTCAAGAAAATAACATTGTCCCCCTTTGCAGTTGAACAACTGAATAGAGTCGTTCCATGCCAAATCAACCAAGCAGATTTTGATTTTAATGAAACCTTCTGTAATTGTTGATGGTGGTGGCACAACACTAAATCTTAAATTCGGGGTCAATCAGAACAGGAGTTGGAGAGCTACGCCCCGCCAAATTCTGACAAAACAGGGATTCCTTTGCTTGAATCCAAAAATTAAAGTCAAGTCAGAAACAAAATAACAAAATAAAGGCAACACAGGTATCGGAAAAAAAAGCCAAGTACCGTATTTTCCGCACGAAAAGGCGCACTGGATTATGAGGCGCACCTTCAATGAATGGCCTATTTTGTAATTTTTTTTCATATATTGGACGCACCGCACTATAAAACGCAATCTACAGTGCATCCACTAGATGGAGCTACGCTCAAGGAAACACCAACAGAACTATAGCAACGCCACGAGTGAAGTGCGCCTCAGCAGTCCATAGTCCGCTGCTCTCTGCTGTGCGCGCGTGAGCGCAAGCACATACGCACGTGGTTCAACCAATCAGCGCCCACGCAACCCACGTCACAGATCAAAGAAGCTTTGAACAAACGAAACAGCTAAGCTAGCTTAACTGTTGAGTGCCGTTGCTACAGAACGATCTGATGTCAGTAAAACTTATTTAATAAAGCAGCGACACAGTTCACTTAACCAACAAGTTATAACATTGAACTCTCTTGCGGCTGCTCTATTTCCGTGTTCAACTGCGTAACCCGATCGCCTTAAGTTTGAACTCTGCGTTGTAAGCATGTCTCTAGCAAGGAGCCATTTTGGGGTCGAAATATTACCGTAATAACCATACACAAGGTGCATTGGATTTTAAGGTGCGCTGTGAGCTTTTAAAACCCTTATGCGGTTTAGGTGCGCCTTTTAGTGTGGAAAATACGGTACATGTTTCAGAGCATCAGATCATATTTAAATATCTCTCACAAGATATCCTATGTAAATATATGGTGAAGTGCATTATCTAAAGTTTATAATACTTAACAAGGAGCGATCCAAACATATGTGAAAAAGTATGACCTGAGTGACTGGTTGTGCCACCCTTGCCAGCAATCATTAAAATCAAGTGTTTGCAAATGGTGATGGCAGCAGAATTCTCTGCCCCATTAATCACAGCAAGCCATCCAGGCCCTGAAAGAGCAAAGCAGAACCAGAGCATTACACTGCCCCCAACATATTTGACTGATGTCATTTTTAAAAATGTTAACCGAGTGCTCAAAAGTTCAACTTTTTTTGTCATCAGGACACAGAATATTTCTCTAAAGGTTTTGGTGTTCATCAAAGATGTTTCTTGGCAAATGTAAGATGAGCCTTTGCGTTTGTTTTAATTTCTTCTCCACAAAGGGTCAGAAAGGTTTGTTCCCTCCCAACACACTCATCCCACCCATTTAGAAAGTTCACTTTTGTGAAATATTAAAGTTTATGGATATCAGTCATCAGGAAGGGAGCCAGTCCTTTTTGCCGGCACTGTATTTGTGGTGCAGTATTGAGGAAAGGGGTCTGCATTCTCTCATCTGGCGTGTGATTGCTATTTTAAATTGTGTGTTGTTTGCAATCATTGCAAACCCGAATTTAGTTTAAATGTTGTAATTAACTATCACACTCTCCCCTTATACTCTAACAGATCAAACAGTTTGAACGACTAGAGCAGGAAGTGAGTCGACCGATCAACAATGACATGACTGGGTGGATTCCATCGTTGATTCACCCACCAGGCAACACGCTGACGAAAAATGTCTCCTCCAAGTTGTGCCACGCCGACCGACAACTTCTGCTTTTCTACCTCGAGCAGTCTGAGCAGAACTTCACAACCATTAACAATGCTATCGATGCCTTTTTTACTGCCGTCAACTCCAATCAGCTGCCCAAGATCTTTGTGGCTCACAGCAAGCTTGTCATCCTTAGCGCACACAAGCTAGTTTTCATTGGCGACACGCTATCCCGTCAGGCCAAGTCACCGGAAGTTCGAGCCGAGGTCGGCCAGAGCAGCAACACCCTCTGTAATAAGCTCAAAGACATTGTCATCAGTACAAAGACAGCAGCACTGCAATATCCATCACCTGGAGCGGCCAGGGACATGAGTGAAAAGGTGAGGGAGCTGGCAGGATGTACCCAGCAATTCAAAATGGTGCTTGGACAGCTGTTGATGCTATAGAATCACCGCGATATTGACAAAAGAGAGAAGACAAAAGCTGGAAGTCCTCCTTGGCATGCTGAGTGGTTACCAAGCGGCATCGTTCATAGAGGAAACACAAAAAGCGTCTGGACACTGTTATTTGCTCTTCTGTAATATATGAGAGATGCTATGGAACTCTGGATCCAATGAGTCAATGACAATTTCCGACATACAGGAATGGATTTCACAGAACCTACAGCTTTTCTGTGTGTGTGTGTGTGTGTGTGTGTGT